TTTTTTTTTTTTTTTTTTTTTTTTTTTTGAAAGAATAGCATGCTTCATTATATATAGAGCAAAAGGAGGCCGGGAATCCCCCCACATCTCGACCCGGAAGCCTGGGGCCATTACCGGCAGTGCAACGTGGGCGATTAGCCATTGCAAGCTTCTGACCCTTCCTATGCATATCATGTTGATCTGTATCCATGGTATTTCGGGTAGCGGTGTAACTCCCACTTTGTTTTCCCATCGCTTAGACAAGGCAGGCGCTAATGGGTGCAACCTTCTTCTCAGTCTGTAGCCAATTCTTGTTGTATAGTTTAGAATGTTGATTCTTCTGGCCAACCCAGTTCTTCCTCCTCACAGATTCCATGCCCATTCTGCGGGGTCCACCTCCAAATCCACCAAAGGCGTGGTTGGGCTGTAGATTGTGAAATCGTCAGATTCTACCACCCTTACTTTGCACAGCTGTTGCAGTTGGATAGTGATCGGAGTTTTAGTTGTCTGGTCCAATTGGCTAGTGGTATTCCTAGGGCGCTTGATCTCATACGTATCTGCAACCACCCATTCCTTCCTCTCAGGTTCCTGGTTCCAGATTCTGAATGCAGCCTGTGGTTCCTCATCCTGCTTCCATGTGGCCCAGTCCCCTAGTCCCCATTGGGACTCATTTCGGAGGAGACTTGTCCATTCCTGTGGTATGGCCTGGACCATGTCGTTAAGATGTTCTTGTAATTTGTGGCTTCCCTTCAGCTGCGTTCTGAGCTCTCTGCTTGTCTTCCATCGCCGATTACTGTCCTTCCAGAGGTGCTTGATTTGCCACACCCCATGTTCCACCCATTTGCCCCATTTGGTGTCCCTTGTTGTGAGGGTAAATGGTTTTCCCTGGGCGTTCTTGATTCCTGGGTTGCAAAATAAGTGTTGGCGCAGAACCTCTTCTCTTGTGCGCAGGTCCCTGACTCTTGCTGGGAAGATGTTCTTCCAAAGCTTGACCATTTGGCTCCAATAGGAGGTTGCCCTTATGCCCTCCTCCGTACCTACCTTGGCCCAGCTGCTGCACATTACCCAGAATAGACCGGTCATATTGGCGGGGGGTTGGTATTTAGCTAGGCGCCTGATGCAGTCCATGGCCAGCGACACCCAAGGCAACTTTGGGTGGGTTGGTTTGTAGGGCTTTGAGTTGCTGATCTGGGTCCAAGATGCCCAAGCCTCCCTGTTCCTTCGTGCGGGTGACGTGTTTCCATGCCACTTTGGAGATGACGTCCGGTTTAGTTGGATTTGCAGTCCGGAGGTAGGCCGCCGCACGTCTGCGTAATGCCGATGTTGTCTGGGCTGGGGGGGACCAGATCGTCCCGGCGTACCACAACATCGAGAAGATGGAAGAGTTAAGTATGGGCGCCCTTCCAAAAACTGATCTTTATATTACCAACCAGGCCGATAGTTTGGCCAGTATCTTGGTCATTAATTCGGCCGCCATAGATTGATGGGGACCTGTCTCTGTGATCTTGTATCCTAGATACCTCAGCGGTGTTCGCGTTGTCACCCATTGTAGCCCCTGTAGGTTGATAGTGGGGTCTGGTCCTACACCTTCTTGGTCTGTTAGCCACCATCCCACTGTCTTTGGCCAGTTTATTTTCATTTCTGACACTAGCTGAAAAGCCTCCATTGTTCGCGTGAGTGTTTGGAAAGATGAGTCTGAGGCTCTGATCAGTACTGTGAGTTCGTCTGCAAAGAGTATGGTTGTCGGCAAGTAAACTATCCAGCCTTGTTGTTCTGGTGCCGCAACTAAGCGCACTATTGATGGATCCTTACGGAGGAAGGAGGCTATGGCTTCCATAATGAAAAGGAATATTGTCGCTGCTACCAGATCCCCCTGCCTGACCGACCTCGACATCTTATATTCTGCTGAAAGATAATCGTTGACTTGCACCTGCCCGTGTGCATCATTATATAGAACTTTGATCCATTTTCGAAAATTCGGGCCTCCTCCCATCCTTTCCATGCACTGCTGTAGGAAGCTCCAGTTCACCTGGTCATAAGCCTTTTCAAAGTCGAAAAAGAGGATTGCCGCGTTAATCCTTTTGTCTCTAATGTAGCGCACCGATTCCGTCAATGTCATGACGTTATCGAGGATGAAACGCCTAGGGATAAAGCCTGTTTGATCTAGATGGAAGCACCCTTCCGTGACCCCGCGAAGCCTGTTTGCGAGGGCCTTAACCACTATCTTGTGTGTCAGCGTGAGAAGAGTTATTGGCCTGTAATTTCGGATATCCGCCGGGTTACCCTTTTTATATAGGAGCGTGACAATTCCCGTGGCCAGGTCTTGTCCTAGCTCCTCCCTTTGCCATGCTTGCTCGAGGAAGGTTACATACTCACTGCCTAGGATTGGCCAGAATTCCAGCCAAAACTCCTTAGTCAATCCATCTCTTCCGGGGGTCTTATTAGGTGACATGGACTTGAGGGTCTCCAGGAGCTCCTCCTGCGATAGAGGGGCCTCAAGCTTTGCAGCTTGTGCCTGCGAGATTGTAGGCTCAAGATACACCAAGAACTTAGACCGTGCCCTCTCCACTTGCTGCCTTGGATGTTCACCTTCCCTTGACTTGTAGAGGTTGCTGTAGAAATTCCGAGCTATCACTACCATTCCTTCTGTGCTGGTTGTCAGCCCTTGCGGACCCTCCAATTTTTCTATCAAAGCATTTCTGCCCCCGTTCTTAGTTTTCTGGAAGAAGAACTTCGTCATTCTTTCCCCCTCTTCCCACTCCTTCACTCTAGCCCTCAATTGCAAGCCCCGGGTTCTCCATCTTTCCCAATCCCCTAGTTCTGATCTTGCTGCCTCCAAAGTCCTTTCATACACGTCCGTGCTGGCGTGCCTGATGTGTTTTTTCTCTGCCATTCTGATGGCTTGCTGGAGCTCATGCTCTCTCCTCTTCCTTTTGATAGCCAGCTGTCTCGACGCCGCCGCCGTCGCCTTGGATAGAGAGTTCATCAGATCCAGGAAGGACTGCGTCTCCGGGTTATAAGATAAGCAAACTTGTAGGACTGCCTGTCTCAGTTCGGTAGTCTGGATTAGCGAGTTATTCAATTTGTAAGAGCTCATACCCCTAGTACATTGCTTCTCTGTGATTAAGTATAGGTAGATGTGCTTGTGATCGAGGTCTGCCATATAAGGTAACTCTCCTATTCCCACTGCATGACTCATGCCAGTAACGTCAAGTGAGGTCAGGAAGTAGTCGATTCGTGACGCCTGCCGACCACGGTTCCTCTTGTAATAAGTAAATTGTCTCTCCTCTGGGAAAAATAATCTACAGGGATCTATCAGATCACTGGCCGCCATCATGTTGTGGATTGGAAGGGCCTCCTCTCCTGCCACTCCTTCACCTTGCCTATTGCCCCCTGACATCCTATCCAGGTTAGGGTCTAAAGTGGCATTCCAGTCGCCTACTATGATGAGGTGCCTGGCAGGGTCTAAGAGTGTGGGTAGGCTGTCCACCATCTGTGCTCGTTGTTGGAACCCATTGGGGCAGTAAACTGCCAGCAGAATGTATGATTCATCGTGGGATGCAAAATCCACTTTTACCCATCTACCTTCTTGTCTATCCACTTGGGTGTCCCCTACCACTATCCTTTCTGCCGCTGCAACTCTACTATTCTGTGGGATAGCGACTCCCGTTGAGTGCGACCTGCTTGCTTGTGCCCACTGGGCCGTCTTGACCCATCTTAATTTTTGGGTCAATCTGTTCTGTATCTGTTGGTGCTCGAGGGATTCCGTGAGGTGTGTTTCTTGAAGGCAGATAAAGTCCGGGGGGTCCCTATCGTACCAGCTGTGGACTTCATAATATTGCTCCACTTGTCTTGATTATCCAGGATACCTGCTAGACCGTTGACATTCCAGGACATAATTTCAATTCCGTTTTTTTCGTGCCCGTGTGTTCCCCCCTTTTTCTCTTCACTTGCCTCCCCTCCCCTTGATTCTCGATGGCTGTTTAAATCTGGGTTTCAGGGATCTTCATCACTTGTCTAAAATTCAAGAGCCAAGCGACGCCATATCTATCCTTGTGGAGTCCGGCTCAATTTTGCTTTCCAAAAATTCTGGCTTCCATGCGAAGGCCTCCATTTTTACTGCGATTTTGTCGCGCTTCTAGCTACCCATTATGCGGCTTTCTGTCCTCCCAGTAGACCATATGGTATGGTCTTTACCACCTGCCACGACATCCATACCAGATCGCCCTTGAGTGCTGCCCCTTCCTGCAGGACCAACAATATTGGCCTGAAGTTGATCGACTAGTTCCCGCTCCCGGTGTCCCCCTCTTTTGCTGCTAGGTCCTTTCCTCCCAGAACGTGAACCGTCGTAGGTAAGTCTTCTAATCAGGTTTCGGAAGTCCTCCTCTGTGCAAGCACTCACCTTCATGTTGATGAGTTCAAGCAAGCGGTGGATTGCGACCTCCCAGTCTGAGTGTTTCTCGTTCCAGCGACATGGGAGGACTACTCTTTGCTTGACCCCATTCTTTTCGTCCAATCTTGCCGCTGCCTCTATTTCTCGTTGTTGTCCCTGTGCTATTTTTTGCAGATTGATCGTTGCCTCCTCAAATTCTCGGTTCTGGTCCTTCAGAGCATTGACTTGGGCTTCCAAAATCGTTGCTTGCCTCTGCAGTTCTTCCTTGGCGTTCTCCTCTGTCTCATCAGTCATCTCCTCGGTCTCTGCCCGTAGCTCTTGAGAGTCCTGAGCCTGCTCCACCTCGCTTCCCTGGTCCGCCTCTTCCCGTGCTTTGCGTTTTCTGTTGTTGTGTTTGTTGTCCTTGTGATGATAGGACTTTGGCCATTGAAAACATTTGTTGTATTCCTCTTCCTGCATGTGGATTTCGTTTTTGTTGGTACGTGACTTCCGTGCATACTGGGCTGCATAAAACTCGTTTAGCTCCTCATCCCTTTTCAGCAGCTCATAGCGATTTTCAGACAAGATGTCCCCTGTTGCCTGTGTGGCCTGCCGCAAGTTATGCAGATGTTTGTGGTGGGCCAGTCGCACCTTGCATTCTATTTTTCTTCCCCATTCCAGCTGTTCCACGAATTGGACGCATTGTTCCACTGTGTCCTCTCCTTCCTCTTCCTCCTCTCCCTCCCCTCCCTCCTCCTCATTGTCAGCTGATTCGTCTGAGGAGGTCCCTTCCATTGGGAGATCGCGTTGATCGTCCTCCGCCTCCTTTATTTCCTCCTCGGTCATTGGACCGTGGTTTCTCATGGTGCGCTTACTATTCCCGCCGCTTTTCGAACTGTCTAGGGGTGTTTTCTGTGCAATTTCCATTGATTCGCCCTCCGCTTCCGTCTGCTGCTTTGAACTGCCTTTTTGGCTGTTGCCTGACAATGTTGGTTTGGATGACTTACTCTCTTCGCTTGGCCGAGTCCCGCTGCCGGACTGCACTCTCTTACCCTGCTGTTCTTGTTGTTCCGTTTCCTCTGAGCCTTCCGTCTGCGTTTTCCTTTTCAGGGAAGTGCCTGAGCTGGAGGTGGAGTCGGTCATCTCTCCTCCTTCTTCAGAGTCCATGTTTTCCCCCAGATGTTCTTGGAGCCCTCTGATTTTTCTTTGGAGTCCTGCTGCCTGTTCCGCCTCTTGTCTCGAGCTCTTAGATTCTCCAAGAAAGCCTGTCCCACTTGGTGCAGCTCCTCCATGGTGCAAAGTCTCTGCTGGTCATCCTGCATTGCCGTCTCGTCCAGCATTGGCTTCGTAAGGAACCTTGTTTCCTTTTCTTCCATTCTTCTGGCTCGTGTTTGCCTCCACCTGCTGTCGAAAGGTGGGTATATATCTGGCTTGATGCTTGGGGCACTTTTTAGTACCCACACCCACCTAGGAGACTCTAGGTTATCGTCAAAAATCCAACCCCTGTACTGGGCTGCATTGATGTACCAGACTCCCGGTTTGTTTTCACATTCGGTCAGCATCGGCTGTCGTAGTGGTGTTTGCTTGCCGTCGGCACCTATATGCGGGCACGGCGACCCGAGGTGACCTCTTCCCCTACATCTGAAGCAGAAAGGGTTTGTCTTGGTAGAGACGAAAATCGTGAGTCTTTGCTCGTTCTTCCGGAAGAGCCATTGTTCCGGGAATTTAGGCGGTGCACCTGACTTGACGTCCAAGCAAACCACTCATGAATCGTGATTGGGCGCCAGGAAATCTGGATTGGCTGGGAGCCAATCAATGATGGGTTTGTTCGGGTACTCGTCCGATAGCCTTCTCTGAACGAAACTGTGCATACCTTCTGACAGATTATCGAACTGCACCCAGAAATGGTTCCTCATCATTGTTTGGCGATGTCTTGATGCTTCCGCCTGCGGGGGGCGCGGTGGCTTCCAAGCTTGGATTGTCACCACTGCTCCTCTGCATTTCAGTGAGCCTAAGGATAGCAGGTACTGTGCGTAGTTAGGGTCCACGCATACAATCATGACTGTGAATTTGCCCCTCTTGTGGTACGAGACTTCCGGCTCTTCTCCTTTTACATTCTCCAGTGCTCCTAGCCTGTCCATCACCCAGCGTCTTTTTTCGTTTAATGAGAGCTCTCGATTTTTGCCTGAGAAGTTGAATAGGACTGCATGTCGTTCGTATAGTTCGTTGAGGGAGGGAATATCTTGTTCCGGACATTCCCACACATCCACTTCCTCCACTTTCCCGGCTTCTCCTTTTATGGTTTCCTTCGTGACTTTAATTTGTGCTGATATTTGTGTTTTTTCCAGTAGGAACTCCATTGCTCTCTGACCCAACGCCTGTGCGCAGTTGCTTGTAGGGTTTTCCCATGAGGGTTGACTTGCTTGCCCTTGAATGAACTCATTTTTCTCCTTCTCACTCATGGCTCTCTGTGCGGCCCTGGAGTAGGTCATTGCCATGATTGACTGCCTCTTTATAGATGCTCCCTTTGTTCCTTCCTCCCACCTGTCCCTAATCCTGCCACCCCCTATTTTCTCCTTAGCTCTTCCTTCCCTTACTCGTTTCTGCCCTTTATTTTGGTCTTTTTAATTTTGATTTTCTTCTCGTGTCCCCTGTCACTCGCGTCACTTGTTCCTTCCCTTTCTTCCTGTGTCTCTCGTCACCCGTGCTTTCCTTTGCGTGTGTTGAAGATCCACAAATTGAAACAGCTTTACCTCACCTAGCTGTCCGCTAATGGAGTCAAAGGAAGAAAAAGCAAACAATATGACGCCCACCAGAAGTGTTGGTTGCCTTTCCCTTTCTTCCCGTGTCTCCCATCACACGTTCCTCCCTTTCTCCTTCTAATTTTTAATTTTCTTCACGTCTCTCTCGCTTCTTTCTCCTTTCGCCCTTTACTGATCGCCCCTAATTCTCTTCCCGTGTCTCCCGTCACTCCGTCAGACCATCTAGAATTTGATTTGGATATCTGCTCCCGTTTCTGATCCCCCCTTATTTTAGAGAAGTAATGTTGCATGCTAGACGGAGGAAACGGTGAACCTCCCCGTCTACCTACCCAGCCCTTGTTATTCCAGCCCTACCTTCCTCTCTGTTACCCGTGTTGATGCCTTGGTTCCGCTTGTTGGGACCTACTCTCATCCCCTCCACTTTTTTATCTCCTCTTGCTGTTATTCCGCTTCCCTTGTTGCGATTGACCGGCCCGTTCTCCGACTATCGGGCGCTGATTCGCCACGCTTCCGTTTCTCATACCCCTTCAGACCTCTTCCCCTCCCTCTCCCTTGCCCTTCCTCCTTTATGGCTTGCCCCGCTCTTGCCGTTCTCCCCGCTAAGCCTCCGTCCTGCCGCAACGGTATGACCTTCTTCTCCTCTTCCCCGTGTATGGCTGCCCGTCCCCGGTAGACCACTGCTTTGCCCCTTGCTAGTACTGGCGCGTCGTCACTTCGCCAGCGTCATCCCGTGTGCGCTTTGACAATCTCCCTCGCCCGCGATGACGTTGGCTCGGGCGAGCACACCCAGTCTCTGTCAACACCGAGCTTGTCCTGCTCTTGCCGTTCTTCCCTGCTGAGCTCCCATCCCGCTGCGATGATATGACCCTCTTCTCCCCTACCCCGTGTATGGCTGCCCCTCTCCGGTAGACCTCTGCTATGCCCTGCCCTAGCACTGGGCACGTCGTCACTTCATCAGCATCGTCCCATGTTCACTTTGTCACACTCCCTCGCCCGCGATGGCGATGGCCCGGGCATACACGGCCGGTCTTCATCAACACCGAGCGCTTTGGCAGCGGTGCAGCGTTGTGCGCTCCCCCCGATGCCTATAAATCATTTCTTTTTTTTTTTGTTCTTCGGTCCGGACATTTATGTGTCTGATGTACCAGTCCGGACGGTCCGGATCCAGTCCTGTCCGGTTGTCCGGTGCCTGTCTGGATTACCGGACGTCTGGACCAGTCCAGACAAATGTCTGGGTCTCGGTCCAGACATGTCCGGGTCTGGGTCCGCGGTTGCCATGGCTCTAAGAGAGTCAACCTGGGCACAGAAATAAAAAAGTCAAAGATTTCCCAGAAGTCAACCACAGCCACAGATCTCACACAAATCCAAAGGCTCGGTGCAGTTTCGAGAAGTTTCCAAGGGCCATTCGGTCCAGGCACAAACTGGCTGCGAGAAAATCTGGGTCGCACACATCGGGAAATATCAGCCCTTTGAGGAGGCAACTGGGAAGCAGGCCTGTGATACATGCCCAGTTGGGCAATGCATATGGAGCCAAGGATCCGCAAATTGATGAAAAGGACTCGAATGGACAATGCAATGTCAGCACAGCATCAACAAGCAATGTACATCCAGATACATACAAAAATAGCACAATGGAGCGCAGCGGAAGACTCAAAGATATGACCTGACCTGTCTGATACTGACGCAACATCCCGTCATACACCACACATGTGAGAGAGGGAGGAGGGACCGCATACACAGACGAAAGGTCCCTCCTTGCACACGCACATGGGGGAGATACCACGGATGAGAGATGGGGGGAGAGGCGGGACGAAGATGGAGGCGAGGGAGAGACCAGGATCGCGATAGCGAAGTCCAAAAATAGTCCCTTGCCGAATGTCCGATGAAAGTCTACCACAAAAATATTGGATCAGATCCTGGGCAAAATGCCCGATGTAACCTCTGCTAGTAACCTCTCTCTCTCTCTCTCTCTGCAGAAGAAGAAGGAGAAAAAGAAAAAGAAGAAGAAGGAGAAGAAGGAGAAAGTAGGGAGAAGAGATGGCGGGCGAGACAAAGAAGAAGAAGAAGAAGATGCCGTCCTCCTCGCTGTCTCACCTGCAGGTAACTGCCGCCGTACTGACTGTTGTCGTGGTCCCTGTGCAGGTCGCTGGCATGGAGCACAGCTATAGCGCTCAGGTAAGTACCGCCGACGCAGGTATGGTCTCCACCCCTCTGCCTACATACGCCTCTACCTCTACCTCCTAGCATAGCGCTGTAGGGTCGCAGCGCTGCTCCAGCAGCGTGTCGCTCAAGAAGTGAGCTACTCGAACTGTGTGTCTGCCCTGGCCTCGCCCGGCAATAAGTAGTGCTGGGCTTCGCCGGTCGGCCTCCGTGTGCCTCAAGGCCAAAAACGTGGCCTCCTGGGTCTGGGTCCTGAACGGACGTCAAGACCCTCCCTGCTGCATCAGCAGGGACGTCCGCTACTGGACGAGTACGAACCTGGCCCAAACGGGCCTGTCTGCGTATGAACAAGGCCCAAGGCGCAGCCTTTGTCCGGACTCCGAAGGTCTGTTTGGAAGAACTGCAGGTCCGAAACGACGTCTGAACAGACAAAACCAGGACAGCAAATAAATAAATAATTAAAATAAATAATTAAAATAAATAATTAAAATAAATAATTAAAATAAATAATTAAAGTAAATAATTATAATAAATAAATAAATGCTGCGTCAAATCGAAACCTGCAGTCCTAAGGCCGGCCGTGGGCCTCCAGGGCGCATGTCTGAAGGGCGTGCGGTCTGGGGCCCTCAGCAAACGTCAGGCCCCCCAAACGGGGCCTGTGTGCAGGCTCAGCATGTAACACCTGGCTGGGTCAACACTATAAAAGTGTGGCCTACCCCAACTCGTGGATTCATTCTTCCTTGTGCTGCTATGGTGCATGCACTTCAGTGCGCAACTACAGTGCATGTGCTACAGTATGGCACTACAGTGACGCGCTACATTGAGTGCGAGAGAAGAGAGACGGAGAGAGTGAGAGGCTGCTATAGCTAGAGTGACAGAGTGGATAGCCTGCAGAACGTACTGATGCACCATAGCTACAAGCAAGAGAAGAGGGGAGATCTGAGGTAGAGTCCAAGGCTTGGGGGGAAGAGGAAGCTAACCTGGAGAGAGTGCTAACGCAGAGTGCTCAGCCATAGCTGCTGCAGAGAAGACCGGTTGTTGCATGTGCTCCACATTCTTCATCCAAGACTCCGAGGTGGTATTGAGCATGTCTGGCACCATAAAGAGGAAGGTCAGGGTTGGAGATAGGAAGGAGAAGATGACCATTGCAAGGGTTGGCAAGAAGGTCGAGGAAGCTTACCTGTTGACACCCACCCGACCCACAAGGCGATTGGTCAGGCCTGGGTCTAGCTGAGCCGTCCTGGGGGGCCCATGGCTGGGTCCAGCTACGCTGGCCTGGTCGGCTGATGGGCGTATGAGGCTTCGGCCTGGGTCACCCAACGGGTGGGGTTGGGTCACCCAGACATAGGCCTGGGTGAGTGTTGGGCGGTCGTGGCCTTGGTATGGGTCACCTGACCCACACAGACCAGGGGCACCCTGGCCGGCCCTCCTCCCTCCCCTTTCCCCCCGCGACCACATATCACCAACAGGTCCACCAACAAGAACACCAAAAAAAATGGCCCTCTTGAACTTCAGGCGCTTCGACCGAGCCTACAGTTCCCGACGAAAAACAAAAAAGGCCGTCTCTCTCTCTCTCTCTCTCTCTCTCTCTCTCTCTCTCTCTCTCTCTCTCTCTCT